ATGTTATATTTTGAGACTGATCATAAAAACAAAATGGATTAAAAGAAGAACTAAACAGATCTTTCTCATATTGCAATGATCGATTCTATTTCTTTCACATTAAGTACTGTACTAGTAAATATGTGAAATGACAAACTCACTTTGAAGGTTGGCTTTCATACACATCAGTATTAAGTTTAGATCAAAAGTTACCTCAAGGTGCATTTACTGTTAACATGACTCGATCAAACAGATTAGAGGAAAGAAGAGAAAAGATCGAACTGACAAAGAACTAATGAATATGGTACACAGGTGGGCGCCAAGATCCCTCTGGGATCTGTTGTTTGTTCACAATACACGTTGAGATTATTTGTTCAATTGATGGTGCTTTACTAATACTTACATTCCCAAAGGGACCAGCTGAGACTTAACACAATATGTACAATAAGTATTTTTCATTCTTTTCTACAGGGACCTCAAAGACACCGAGTCAGTAATTTACACTCTTTCCCACAAGGATGTGATGAGACTTTAAACATAACATATATTATGTATTTTACACTACATCTCACAATTGCAAAGACCAACGATTTTAATAGGACAATATACATTTACTATGTATATTTTTATACAATATCCCACAGGACCCTGGAACTTAAGACACTTACCTTTAGTCTTGGGTTACTTCTAAGTAAATTTGATTACATATTGTATTTTGGAAATTTTATGAACATTATCTTCAATACCTTTCTTTATATAACACTTTAGTAAAATATTTCATTTTAAAGAAATATTTATCTTTTTGAAAAAACTTTTATTTTCTGATAAAAGCATGTGATTGAGAGAAAAAAATCCTGAAATTGTACTACATTTTACATTTTTAAAAACCTTTGGAATTTCTTCAACTAGTTTCAATTAGTTGCTTCTATTCATATAAGTGAAAAAAAACATTATCTTAACTAAAATGAAGGAAATTATGGTATTAGCTCATGTGTATACAACAATGTTGTAGCATTAAAGGCACTTATTCAGTCAGTGGAATTTACAACATGGAATATGAAATGATGAACATAGAGTCATAACATTCCCTAATTTATTCCGTTTGTAACGGCTTGTAAGTGTTTTCTTTTCTTACATGTATTTTTTTTCTTCTATTTTTAGGTGACATCAGAGCATTACCACATAAAACATATCCATTGGATATTGTGAATAAATAAAAAACTATTTTAAAAGCAAATCAAATTTTTGCTGAAACATGAGAAGAGACACAAGCAGAACCAACTGTGGTGCTATTAAGACAATTAAGACGTAGATAAGTAACTACAATGAATGCCATAATATCTCTGTGTCATTTCTGTGAAATACATGGCCCTCAGGTGTTATTTTGTACCCAGCCGAGCCATCCTCAGGGTATTGAGGGTGGGGTCAGCGGGGTGGGCGTCGTCGTCGAGGAGCAGTACAACACCATGCAGCTCCTACTGTCTCGAACACAGGAGCAAGATGGAGCGCAGGACCTCAAGTCTCTTGTCTCAGAACCCAGCACACCCACTCCTTCATCAGGAAACCACTGTGAGGTAAGTGAACAATGATCCTGGTCGTGGCACCATTTTGTTAACAGCCACAGGACAAGAGTAATGTAAAATACTGCTTACACTGAGGGTTGAACTAGTAACCCCAGCTTTCCAGCCCGCTCCTCTACCAATTGAGCTATTGGGAAGCTTCCTTTAGTGTGAATCTAGATAAGATGACCACGATCAAATGTAAATTTAAAACTACCACACTTTTACCTATACAGGAGAGGTATTCTTTCACGATCGGACGTGAAAAGGTTGGGGTCACCTGCCCAACCACGTGGGTTTTCTCCGGGCACTCCGGTTTCCTCCCACACTTAGACCCCCCCACGCCCTAACATCCGGGCAAACAAGAGTGATTAATATAAGTTGAAATAACATAATTGTTGTTAAATAATGTGCATTTTGTCTTATTGTCATCATTTATTTGTACATGTGGTGTGTTTTTCTCATTTCTTCCCCCAAAATTCCAAATATCAAAATTATAAGTAATGAGCTTTTGGTTTAAAAAGAAAAGAAGATTTATAGCCTCTTAAACTTTAGACAAAAAATAGTCTTGATATTTCTTACTTTTTTTTGAGTGAAATACCCAATTTGAGGTTTACGCAACGCATTTTTCTAATCCCCTGGTTCCATTCCGAATACAGTTTAAAAAACAAAACTGTATTGTGTAGGAGTTTTCACTTTCAGTTTTCATGTAGAGCTTTAGCAAGCTAACAGTGTGAAGATTTAAATGTTTTTATAGGTTTTGTTTTATACAAAATAATAAACTCTGCTGATTTGATTGAATTCAAGAGTTTTGTAAAATTGGCATGATTTTATGTGAAATGTTATTCTCTAACCTAGGGCTGTTACTCAGTGAAGCCTGGCTTTGTGAGTCATGATGACGACGTGAAGGTTAGCTATGTAAGCAGTCGACAACCTCACAACCGAGAAGTTTTCAGCATGATCCGACAAGCCTGTTTACGCAGCCTTACTGGAGAGGTAAGTCATCACACAGGCTTGGTGTCCATAGTTATAAGTAAATTATACTTATCACAGGGGTTTGGTTTGGTGTTAGGGTGTTTGTCATACTTATCACAGGGGCTTGGTATCCAAGGTGAGGTAATTATATATAACTCATACTGATCACAGGGGCTTGGTTTGTTGTGGAGAAATAAGTCATGCTGATCACACTAATTTTTTACATAAATTTTAAAAAAAAAATCTTTATAAAATGAAATTAATTCTTCACATGATATACTTTTTATGAACATGACAATGGCTTAAATTAATCTAACTTTGATTTATAATATTTATTTTCAAGGTGTGCCCTGGGACTGAAGGACCCATATTTTTTGGAAACGACCAGCAAGGTCATGTGATATCCTACTCCTTCCATATAAAGGACTTCCAGGCCCGAGGCTTTCAGAGGCGATATAGCATTATTATTGTAATGATGGACAAAATTTATTTGTTGAACTCCTGGCCATTTTTAGTGAAAAATCTCAAAATAGTAGTCGAACATTTACAAGAGAAGGCACAGAAAGTTCATGATGTTGAACAAACTAAAAGTCCTAGAGAACCAAACAAACTTGCCTCATTCAGGATAAACCCCAAGCCAGCTCGCTCACTAATGGAACTGACGGAAGATAGAAATATATTTAAGATTCTCCATGTTTCCTTTGTGTGGATACTTAAGGCATGTGGTAATCGGATCACGGAGTCCCTCCTAGAGGGACCCCCAACAGAGGACTCAATCATAGACATGGAGAAACAAGAAGGTATGTAGACCTGTAATCAGTCAATCAATATTTTGAATTGTTTGATATTTGGTTTAGCTATGTTTATGCCTGTTTGGTTTAGCTATATTTATGCCTGCTTGGTTTAGCTATGTTTATGCCTATTTGGTTTAGCTATGTTTATGCCTATTTGGTTTAGCTATGTTTATGCCTGTTTTGATGGGATACAATATGGTACTGTATCATACTTGTGGTGACTTGACTTTAGAACACAAGAAAGGGACATTTGTGCCCTTTCACAGTGTTACAACATTTAATATATTTTAACGTATGAATTCAATCCATGCATTAGATGATTAATATGCCTCTGTACAATAAATCTGTTTAATATTATCAAGTTTACATGAAATATACTTGGCAACTACAATCTACAAAGTGCAAGACCAAATTTGATACACTCACAAAAATTCATGCCATCTGTTTGACAACTTAAACATCATCAGACTATAGTCAGTACTGATACATTCTGTTGGAATAATGTTTATTTTATAGAGGGGGTAAATTGCATAAATTATTCATTTATTTCAAACAGAGACAGAAGAAGGCTTCATCAAACTGTTTAAGAAGGATGATACAGAGGAGGATATAGAAGAGGAGAAAGAAACAGAAAAGGAGGGAGAAGAGGAAGAGGACGAAGAAGAATCAACATCAGCTGTACAGAACATCAGATATTTACTGAGGGTTTGTATTACATACACATTTAGGGCTGGAATAATGACAGCTAATACTATACAATTATGATACTTTGGTAATGATATATATAGATTAACACAAGGCTTTTCAGGACACTCAACACCAATGATCCAGACCCGAGGGCTGAATTCAGAATTGTTTATAGTGCTATACAAAACCTCATACCAAAATAAAAAATACTGTAATTGTCTTATCTTACATACAATATCTTAACACTGAAACAAAAATGAAAGTATACCGTAGAATCAAACACAGAATGTCAAAACTCTCCGATACTATATATAAGTCAGCAATAACAATACAGAGCAGTGCCAGCCATCAGTAACAACTATCGCGTACTGGTCTACTTCTGACCAATGATGTGTAGCTGGGGGTGCCATCATCCATACCAGAAGTCTTGGAGACGATTCTGTGACTTTTACAATCATTCTAAGGGAAATGAGGCTCAAATAAGGGAGGTTTTATTTGCAGCGTTTTTCACGGCAAAAAACCTTATCCTATTCGACAAAATCAATGATATTTAGTACAAAATCATTAAGTAAGGAATTTTGTTTTGATTTTGGCATAAGTTTTGTTATTAATATATGAAAATTGAATATGATCATATATATATATATATATTGAGTAGCACAACGTTTACAAAACAAAATATTATCACATATAATTAATAGAGATGAACTGAAAAAGCAGATTTCACTTTAAATTTACATCTGTAGCAATTGAGTTGGACAGGTCAATATTCACAGCAGCCACAGTACTACTGATGTTCAAGTTAGGAAACGTGAACTTTTTTGATTTTGATGAGTTTATAAGGATTACAGTTGTCTTTGTTCATTTTCATTTGAACTTCTGAGCATTGTAATATAATCTGGAAACATGCATTTATTAACAAGAGGGCAGAAATAATCAGCTGTGAAAGAAAAGCAAACTGTGTTCTGCATTTGAACTTTTGAATTCAATATTATACAGTCATTGTTATTTATCATGTACTCACCAGTATTTGGGTGCAAAATGTTTCACATTGGAGCAATGTAGCAAGGGGCAGTGGAGACAATCGGACAGACTGGTTGTGCTGAAGTGATGTGGGAAACAGTGGAAAATAAGAGATATTTGTTCAAAATTCATGTTCTATACTAGGTAGACATTGAAGAGTAGCACCGATGTTGATGCTAATTCCATGCGAACACATATTTATACTGATGTATTTTCTATTTTTAGAGTCTTGGGGAGAAGAAGTTCCATATCCTTGCCCATCATGCTGTTATTGGTAACCAAATCATCGTCAGAGGTGCTTTAAAACCTGCTGTCAAAGCCGTTCTAAGTGCACTGAAGGTAATGTCTCATCTCACTCAGATTCTCTTTTCTTACAATAATTTACAGATTATCTTCATATGACAATAATATGACATATCAGAAATATGTTGAAGAATTAAATCAAGCACAAATTAAATTTCCTTAAAAAAAAATAACGTCAGAAATGCGGTTGGAGGCATAAAAAATACTGTAAACATACACAATAAGTTTTTAGTGCATTATAAAACTTTCAATTACCCACAATTAATGCAACAGGAAAAAAGGTATACAGAAACTTGCATTAGTGCAATGTTTAAAGCACAGACAGTGCCTAATATGTACATTTAACATTATGTTGAAATGGAGAAATGTGGACTTTTCATTTAAGTTTCAAAGTCGGAGTGTGTTCAGTAAAATCAAGTTAAATCTTGTTATATTGCCACCATTTAGTGAAAGATGTCTTGGCAGTATAAAGAGTTTTGTTGATATATCAAGGGAAATGCATACCCCTTGTAGATGTAAAGAAATGTTTAAGAAAATAAGAAAAAGACACTTTTAAATATATTGTAAGGTGTATGAGATGAGGCACTTCATATTGAGGGTTTACTGTTTTGATGAAACTGAAAATCAGGGCCTTTTCTAGAAAATGGATATGTTTGTCACAACAAAAAAACAATGAGGATAGTCGGAGATAAATTCTGTAAATGAGGTAAAATGCACAGAGTCGAGGCCGCCTTACAAGCTGTGGCTAGCGGTAATTTCTTTTAACATTAAAAGTGCCTATCTTTTAGAAGTTTTTGAAATCCTCCATTTCAAGCACCACCGTACACATGTTGCGATATGTTACGATTTGAAATTAATCTAAAGATTTAACCCTTCTCTAGTGTATCGTACCTAAGGGATGCTGTCGGGTCGTGTCATACAGTCAGGAATACGAAGCATCATGGAAATGTAATTTCCTTGGCCTGGCTCCAGACGTTCACATTCCAAACCACATCATGGCCACAGAAATGTTTGTACTGGTAGAGGTTATCTCCCCTGAGGTTGATACCACCGTTCCCACCACTATTTCTCCCCCGGGTCTTGACCAGCTCAGAGAGTGTGATTTTAGCCTGGCTAGTCCAACAACACTACCGGATAAAGGTTAGAGTTCAGAATGAGTGGCCAACATTGAATAGTTCCAGAAGGAATTCATTTTGATTCACTGAAAATATACGTCCAACTTGTACAACATTGCCATTGTATTCATTCAAACATATTTTGTTGATTAACATCAATCAAAGGGATTAGGCACAATATCTCACAACTTTTTATTCATGCTGATTATATTGTAAACTGGGAAAAAATTACACACAGAAATGTTAACTCCCATGAATATACATATTTGCCATTCTCTAAAAATGTTCATGGGAGAGACGCTGTGGTAAAAATTAAACAAACTCTAAAATCTATGTTTCAATGGTTTCTGACTGTGCTCTGCTATGTAATGAATTAATGGAGTAAAAGCACAACATATGGAAGTTCTGTTGATTTCAAAAGAATGATTTGACTACCTCTTCATACTATTGCACCACTTTCAGCCAATCTGTTTTTGTATTCCATTAAAGCTGAATAAATACAATGGTTCCTGACTAAGAGTTAAAAAAGTTTGTACTTGTCTGAAATTAAAAATCATTTACAACTTTAAGACTTTAGTGTCAGCCATGGTCTAGGACTTACTGACCAAAACAATTTCCTAGACTTGACCAAATCTATCACGATGTGTGTGTGACCTAGGAGATGATATAACCCCTTCTTGGTCCTTATTTTGTGTGTGTGTCTTCAGCTACTGTTGTATTTTACCATCAACTGAGTTCTGATATTGTCTTTGTGTGTCAACACTGTGATGTTATTTTTTATTCACATAATTCACATTTTATTTCCGTTTTAAGGACCTGCTGTTTTAACAAAAATGGAGATGGCTTTGAAAAATGAAAATCTCACACAGGAAGTTCTAGAACAATATCTTATCTGTCTCAAAGAGGAATGGATGAAGTAAGTTATTTGTTGTTAAATTTACATTAAGCTTATAAGACTTCACAAAAGTGTTCATTTACTCTAAGGCTGTGTTCAATGTACATCTCATTTGAATAATCATAAAATTTTAATGATAAAACTTTTACTGACAAAATATGGTGTCAAATTGAAATACCACAAGATTATGTCACCAAAAAATACATGTTTTGAAGAATGTTGCTTAATTTTTGTACAACATTCAAGTTTATAAAAGCATTTTTTACCTTATTTAAGGGAGATAACTCTAACACAAATAAAATATATACTTTGTAAAGTAGCATACATCCTTAAGTCAAAATTTGGATTGTGGATGATATTCTGATACATATTTCCCTTGAAATCAATCTACATTAGGGAAATAGTACATACTCACAGTATGCTGTCCAAATCAAATCATGATATTTCATTGCTGAAATTAATAATACAACTTCATTATTCCACTTAAGTCTTCAACATTTTGAGTTCCTTGGGCCTGTTCTGCATTATTGCCTGTTGTTTTGAAGTAGAAATTACAATATTTTGAACAAAAACATCCACAAAGAATGACTATTGTATAACTCTTCTATTGTGCTTTGGAACAGTTAATGAATTATGACTAAATCAAAAGTAAAAATAAGAAATAGCGAAGAAAAAAAGATTCAGCAAAGTTGTTAACAAATTCAAAATAGGATGTGAACCTAAACATATGAACAGGATGTGATATATACATTTTAAACTTTTTCTGTTTCAGTAAAGTGAAAGTTTTATTCAAGTTCACAAAAGCAGGTGGCAGTAGGTCTGAAGAGGACACCAAGAAACTATTACAAGTGGTCGGTGCTCAGGAGGAGGATAAACAGCTACTCAAGTTCTGGATGACGGGGCTCAGCTGTCACTATAAAACTCACATACTGTCAACTACCAAATCTCACCACTGAAAACAGAAATAATGGGGGTAGGGGTACATGAGGGGGTTTGGCAGGGGAGTTTGCATGTATAAACAGCAATCATATTTTAACAGCAAGTATATGATTTGTCCACAGATACAGAATTATAGAATGTACTGTAAATTTCCCCCTCCTATATGTACTGTTACTGTATATAAAATACGTACATGTGTTACATACAGAATGTTTCCCACCTGGGTGTACTTAGTGACCTTTGCTATTGTGACGCCACAATCAGATGGGACTACACATACATGTATAACATATTATGAGGTCACAATTTAAAGCCCATCAAAATGTTGTTTGACCGACTACGGCAATCAGTTGTCGGTAACAGACACCACCTCATGAACTATAATTTCACAAGCTTGCCAGTTAGTTGTTGCAAAATAACAGTAAATTCAAGGTACCCTACATTTTTCTCCTCTTCCTAGATACGGTCATAGTTAACATGTTCGTTATCCAGAAATATTGCTATATATATAAGTGTTGCATTTATATTGTCAGTGTAGTGTTTACATAACTTTCTGGTAAGGGGTGCAAGAAAAAGAGTAAATCATTTTGTAGAAATATGGCATAAAGATATTCAAAACCCTCGGGCTCCCGCATCCCATATCCTTACATGTGCTAGACTGTATTGGTTATTTAGCAGTTTTAATTTAGGGCTTTTTCCTTAATTAACATCTGTGCAATACAGGATTTTTTTCCCCATCATTTCCTTTATATGGCTCACCTAGCCCAAAGGGGGTAGAGGGGCGGGGCCAAATAGGGGGAAAATAGGTAAATCTATAAAAATCTTCTTCTTCTCAACCAATTTTGACCAAATTTATTCTAGAGCATCATTGGACAAAGGAGCCTCAAGTTTGTATAAACGGAGAGTGTGGCCCCTCTGGGGGCATAGGGACGGGCCCAATAGGTGAAATAGAGGATTTTTTTTCTCCTTCTATACAAATGAAGGGATTTAAACCAAATGCAGTCTGAAGCATGCTTAGGGACAAAAGAATCAATTTTGTATAAACTAAGGTGTGTGGAANTTAAACCAAATGCAGTCTGAAGCATGCTTAGGGACAAAAGAATCAATTTTGTATAAACTGAGGTGTGTGGAACTCCTTCTTTGGGGCAGATGAGTGGGTCCCATTAGGGGAAATAGAGGAAAATATTAAAGATCCTTCTCCTTCTGTACCGATACAGAGATTTTGACCAAATTCGGTCTGGAGCATCATTGGACAAAGGGTTCTCAGTTTTGTANCCCCTCCCCAGGCAGAGGAGCAGGGCCCAATAGGGGAAATAGAGAAAAATATTTTCCCTCTGTGCAAATGAAGGGATTTAAACCAAATGTGGTCTGAAGCATGCTTAGGGGGAAAAAAACTCAATTTGTTTAATTTGTATAAAAAGGTGCATGTGAGACCCAATAGGGGAAATAGAAGAAAATTGGGACATAACATGGAAACGCATTTCCTTGGTGTCTTTCCCACTAAAACAGATTTATATGGAGTTCTTCTTGCAACTTTGTTTCTTGTACTCCTTTGATAAACCTGTTTGGTACTCGGCAGGTTTTAAATTGAAAAATAAAATACCAGGTGAGCTATTAAGGCCCCTGGGCCTCTTGTTTGGTTAACTTATTTCCTATCTTGGTTTACCTGGCAAAATGAAAATGGCAACACTGTACTCTAAATCCTTTAAGTCTGGACAAATAGATTAATTCTGTATTTCAGATAGCACAAAATTCTTGTGCAAAATCAGAATTCCAAACTTTTTTCACATGCTCAACGCCATGTATTTTCTGGTAAAATCATGAAGATATGCCCTAAGTTTATTATTGAAATGCTACAGAATATTTATTATTGACCATTAAAATGCATATCTATGACATACTTGGTGTTTTTTTTTGTATGAATGCTTTTGGTGGAGCATTTCTCAGTCTCAGTCCAGTCCTGTCTGGCTAGAAGTTTCCTAAGGTAGTGTGTTAACCCTGCATCAGGCTGAAGGGCAGGATCACACTGAGGTAGTTTTTCCATATTGCTGTAAACACTTTCTGTTCTTAAACATGTGATAAAAGCATCCTCAGATGGCAGTACAAACTTTAAGTCTGACCTCCCAGAGAGAACTTTCTTACTCAAAAAGCGGTAATTTAGCAATATCGCTTTAAGCACCTTCTCTTCTGGAAGTATCAGAGGGATTCATCCACATTTCATTGATAAAATTCTCGGATGGTTTTAAAAAATAACAAACAATAACAAACCTCGCTGGTGGCTTATATATAAAAATATCTTGCAAAATGCACATACAGGTTCTCAGGTCCTGGTGAGTTGAATAAGTTTAGCAAATTGCCAAAGATTAAGTTATTACAGCACTTTAATTGAAAACAAGGTTGCATCGTGTAAGAAAAAAAGGAAACAAGAACTCTTGAAAACAGTATCCGTCTGATATTTAAAATCACTCTACCAAGACATTTAATAAGTCCAAAGGTTGGGGAAGAAGGCGGTGAAATCGAAAGAGTCTTTTATATAACCATCTCGGAATCAAGTGAAAACTTGCAAAACGACATCTACGCTCCTAATAGAGGGTAAAACATGTTAAGAACGAACAGGATTACTAGTATACAACAGCATTGTAGTAGCCGCATCAAACGGCAACATTTTATTTCACCGACTCATCGTCAGACGGGAATTTTGGAGTTTGAGCTTCTCTCACCTGGTTGTATATGCAGCAGGATCGTAAGCAACCTAAACGCAGAATATGATGTCTAACTGTCAGATTTTACAAGTCATAAAAATGGACAGAGACGTCAGTAGAATCAGGGATCAGTGTAAAAAAGGAACCCAGAACACATACCGAATACAAGTTATCAAAAATATAAAATCCCTACGAAAGGGAAAGACTGCAGACGGAGGTAACATCTCGGCGGAACAACCGAAACTTTCAGGGAATGAAATCCTTGAGCCACTATTTACGATCTTCAAAAAGCTACAAAAGGAAAAAGTATTTTTATGTTGACTTCATCACTCTGATCTACCAAAAATATAAACAGTCTCAATTTGTACAGGAGAATTATGGTGTCCAGCTAGCATCAATGGTTAAAAAACCCATTTTAGACAATCCTAGGCCCACTCGAAAAACAAATCGAGGATTCTAGAAGTGACAACGCCGAACATTGCTGTCCAAGCAAGCTGAGTGTGCGGCAGAATGTGTGTACAATTGTAAACCCTTAATGCAGCTTTCATTCGACGATGTTTGACATAGCTATATGCGTAGTTACATTACGTTGGTCCTTCATCAACAGCCCGGATCTTACTGCAGGAATGGTACATGTATTTATTAACGATGTCATCTCACAAGTTAAGAGGAACCAACTCCTATCCCAGCCTATTCAAGAACAGCCATGCGTACGACAAGGAATGCTAGTCAAAGACAGCATGATGTTCCTGGCCCGGTTTCTGAACTTAAACGCCAAATAAAGATTCTTGGGTTATGATCAGATCAATCCGTGTTGTAGTCTCACGAGCGTGGATGATGTCTTGCTCCTCTTAACTGACCTTTAACAGGACTGCAGACTATGACACATCCCCCCTACAATATAAGTATGGAGAAAGGTAAGAAAGCGTATTCTTACTTACCCATTGTACATGAACAACAAGCCTTAATGATGTTCAAACGGGTTATACAATAGTCTTGGTATCAAATGAATGGACGTCCGAGTCGAAAACACTTAAGGTACAATTTAGCTAAGAGGAAACGTTCATAGGTCGAGGGCAAGGAACACAACATAGTATAGGAGTAAGCCACCAGAAAAACATTGTTGCCCATCTTGAGGTCCTAATCCAGATGTGGAACGTATACGCCAAAGCCGAGAATACTCATCCTAATCAAGACGATCTCGAATTTAAGTTCTTCATTAACTGGGGCCTTACGGCACATTGGTTCAAAGACATTTTAAATATGTACCACAAACAAACCCTGAAACTCCTCTTGGGTTTCATACTGTGGTCTGTGGACACGGCGGTCTACATTCTCTCAGCACAGTTCCGGGATCCATTTCGAAACATTTCTTGGCTAGCAAATCGCGCATGCTCGTCTCGCTAACCTAAAACGACATCGAGCACACAGAAATCAGCCATAATAATGAAAACTCAGAATAAGTAAGCCAAATTCTGGAAGTGATCTGTGGTGCCTGTTGTGAAATATTGACTGCAGCGCTATTGGTTGTCAGTATCCATGCCTTTCTGGAAACACCTTAGTTCAACTCCGGACGCTTGCAGGGTACGATGTTTACCTTAGTCTAACTCCGGACGCTTGCTTGGTAAGATTTTTCCCATAATCTATCTACAGACGCTTGCAGGGTAAGATGTTTACATTAGTCTAACTCCAGACGCTTGCAGGGTAAGATGTTGGCCCTAGCCTAACTCCGGACGATTGCTTGGTAAGATGTTTCCCATAATCTATCTACAGACGCTTGTAGGGTACGATGTTTACCCTAGTCTAACTCCGGACGCTTGCAGGGTGAGATGTTTACCTTAGTCTAACTCCGGACGCTTGCTTGGTAAGATGTTTCCCATAATCTATCTACAGACGCTTGCAGGGTAATATGTTTACATTAGTCTAACTCAGGACGCTTGCAGGGTACGATTGGTGAGTTGTAGACCTGATCCCAGCTCATCTATATACCAAATAACGGCCATCTGTAGCATCGTTTATGAGGTAGTATAGGTTACATTCTAGAATGTTCTAAAAAAAAATAATGTCCTATTATTAGGGCCTTACATTGTTTTAACAATTTTAAAGTACTGTTAGGGTGTATACACCAATCCGTTCCCAACAAAAGGAGGGAATTACGATCAAATAACGTTCTTAGGCAGTGAGCTTTTACATATCAACCAAACATTTTGAAGTAGTATTTTCTTCTTTCATTATTTTTGAAATGTGGTAGCTCACCGTCAATTATTAGATATGGGAAGATAACGACAGTAACACGTCATAGTGTATAAAGGGACATTACTCTGCGCAATAATTGTATGACGTAACGTCCTTTGTTTATTTACATAGCAAAACGACAGACTGTATACGCTCCATGGACAATAACAATAATAACCAGGTAAAATATCTCAAGGATTTTGTTTCTTTTGGTAAGGTTTGATTTTTGTTCATTTTATTTTATTTTTATGAAGAATGGACATTTTTTTCTTTTCTTTTTTAAGTTGACGATAATCTTTTTAGGAAACGCGATGTCATAATTCCAACAGTTTTATTCCTTTCTATTGAACAAGGTATTACTGAATAAAATCATACCTATTGTAAGATTTTCGTCTTGTTAAATTGTTTGTTGGATAAGAGCTCCATTTTTTTAAAATTTCATTTTAGATTTTTGAGGTTGATGGATTGGCGACCGATATGTATGGCTTTTTGCGGGGGACAAAGCCAAGTGGCTTGAACTTGTGGGTCACTTTCTTGACGGAGGACAAGGTAAAATGAATATCACATGAATGTTATAAGAATTAAAAGTATCACGATATTGTAGAAAAGAAGACTGGATCGACAGAGATATATCAATAAGGATCAATGTCATAAACCGCTATTTGAAAACGAAAATTTCAAATTTATCTGGACGCGTTATTTTTTTCAAAAATGTTCACGTATTTTCAAAATCTAACATTTTAACGGAAAATAAATATGTTCTGAGCAATTTTCGTTTGGTCTATTCTGCTCTGAACTGAAATTAATTTCCCCCTTCTTTTGATTAAATTTAGCGGTATTTTGTCTTTATTTCAGTTCGTACCAAACGATACCAGTGACGAGAAGCAATGTAGCCTTCCTGATATCGGACAGGATGGACAGAGTGAAGATAAAGAGATAGAGGAAGAAGAGTATTACTACCCATACATTCGTCTGTATGCCGACTGTGAAGATTTGGGATATGGTGACGGTATGCCAAAGGCCTGGAGACAGTACTGTAAGCCCAGGTAAATCAGTTAAAACAGCTCTGGACTTTATTTTACGGTCGCTTTATAATACGTTCGCAAACGTCCTAGAAAATAAATTAATAAACTTTGTTATTTCTTTTCTTATGTTTTTCGTTCTTCATATATTTACTTTTGGATTATTTCTATTGTCCAAAACTCGGGTTACATGACATTGTGTAATGGACGCTATTAGTGTTTTGAAATATCTTGACTGTTTCTTTATTTTGTTTCTTTCAGTTCAAAAATCCCAGGCTAAGTCAAGTTAGCGGCGTGCAGGATACCGCTTATTGCACGGCGAGCTAGCAGACCATCCAATGTCAAAATGAATATCACCAAACTGGTGCTTTTTTGAGCGTTTGAAAAAACTTTTATATTATTGTAAATTACGCATATTTGTCAAACCATATGTACTGTTTTTACTACCTTTATCATTCTCGTAAGAAAAAAGGTTAGAATACAATTGTTTAATCATTAAACTTGATTACCATTGTAAAATGAAATGTAACTGTACAGAAAAGGTTATTATGTTTGAAGGGAAATTCACAAAAGGAGTTCCGTTGTACCACATTCTTGACATCATTTGATTTGGCGAGGTGACACTTTTAGGGTTGATGTGGAGAAATAAGTACAAAGTTGAGGTTCAGTTTGAGATTTTCAAGTCTGTGGTGTTACCTGTTAAAGAACAATCGCTATCATGTTGAATTCACATTACTTCAAAAACTGCGAGGAAAAACGACGTGAAAATGACCACGTACAGTATATATTACAATGTACATTATGCATTAAGCTTTGTTTGAGCTAGATCTGATACACAATACTTAAACACATTTTATGGTATCCTGTTGAAAAGGATATGTCAGCGACAATCATTAGTGAATATTCACTGTATAGTTTATTTATGACTTTTAAATAAAAACAAATAGAATTTTAATGTAGTTTTATTTTATAACTAATTTAAAAGAAATGAGAACAATGTAGCCTTGACTGTCTTGTATACATGAATAAGTGTTTTTAATAAACAGTTTTTCGTTTAAGTATAGCACGTATTTGTCCTTTGTAAATTTGAATATCCTTTACATCGTTTCCTTCAAAGATGTTGTCACGGCCTGTTAGAACAGATCATGGCGGACAATATTGGGTCAACTGACACATTCGGCACACCTCGGCAGATTCCGGTACCCGAATACTAATTCAGTGATCAATCGGAAACTGTCGGCACTTTCCGTAAACGAGAAATACGAGAAATGCCGTAAACGAGAAATGCCGACGGTTCCCGATTGATTTAGGGATAAGAAAAGTTGTGTCGTCTACAAATGTAATACATTTGCCTTAGAACCACAGGGGTCCTAACTGAAGGTCATTACATTTACAACATGTAGTCAATAATGGCGATCTGTAAGGAAAAGTACTAGAGGGGGTCATTTTAATTATTTTTCATATATCAAGTGAATCACAAAAACAAAAATGACATATGTATCTGCTATTATTGCTGCTGACTTCAAGATTATTGCTGCTGCAAAAAAGATATATACAATTATTAGGCATAAAGTGACCAATGCTACCAGGATTTAACCGAGGCCTGGGCCAGACCTTGGGACTTATTCTTCGGGCCATAGCATTGAAACATTCTAATACTATGGCACATCTTAAGTTCTTTGAGCATTAAACATAAATGAGGTTCTAATTTGTTAAAAAGTATACCTGCACGTTTCATGAAAATCTGATGACTCTTTCAAAAGTTAACATCCCACGAGATCAGTCAGTCTGTCAATTAGATCATAACAGCCTTATATTAAATATATGTTTGAATTTAGCGAGCTTCTCTCTTGACGATAACGTTATGCCAACAATCGGAACCCTTGATTTATACATTAAGCCACGGACTTAGAATCTAATTCCGTGATAAAGCTAAAGAAAATACAGAAAAAAGAGCCTCTTCAGTAATGTATACAGCTGTATGTTATGCCTTATGTGGATCCAGCTAATTGCTGACTAAATAAATTTTAGTCACACTTTGAGGGAAATCCGGACATTACTGTGACCCTCGTCCAGGCTACGATTCCTGTTCCGGTTTTCACAGATCTAGACGAAAACATTGCATTGACATAATAAGTTTTCTGCTGTTTGCCTTAAAAATGAGGCGTTTATCGGTTAAACTTACAGCTCCTTGGATGTGAATTGAATCTCAAATATAACTGGTTTAGCTGGAATTGGTAAATATTTATAAATAAAGTCGAAATGAGCAGACAAAGTATAGGACTAGTCTTATTACCTGACGTTTCGGCCCAAGCTCAATGTTTGTAGCAATGTTTGACAATTTGCTGGTTGCATATTTTAATATTTCATTTACTGAAGTCCTGGTGAATACCCTAAGTTCTCTTAGTCGAATCAAAGTATGTATTTCAAAAAGTAGGAAAGTAAAATATATTATTGCTTTCTTGAAAATTGTAGAATTATGTCTGGAACATTTTGATATATGAAATAAAGACTCATCAACTGTCGAATCAAGATTCATTTCTTGAATGATAGGCCTACAATAATGCCAAATCGGAAAAATCTTATATATATGATTAATGTTTTAGATTACATAACGTAGGGTTCAAAACGTTCATAATAAAAAAGTAAATGCAAATGATACTGTAGTCTAACAGTATTAAGGTTCAACAAGACCCCTTAAAGATGTTATAGTCACCCTAAATTTCAACCCCCTTGCAAGTCATATTCAAATACCCTTATCAAAAATCGGAATATATAATGTACATGCGCTATTAAAAAGGTACATAACCTGCAGGTTAACAAAGTCAAAATACGGCATTATGGTTGATGTAATGATAAAAGTTGTTCACCAGATTTTTAACATGTCCCTCAATGTCTTAAGCCAACTGAATGTTAAGAAATCACATGTTATTTGAAGTTCATTTATATACCTAGGTCATGCAGGGCTTTATTTATCTTGAACTATGTGTGGAGAGGTACCGTATGTACCGGCCTCACAAAAAGATTATTACTGCTATGGGAAAGTAAAAAATTCATAGTAAAACGTCCGCGTAACAAATTTTACCGGTATATGTGTAAAACCATAGACCTTTGACCATAAACACTACTTAAAACTTCATATAAAATGTCCTTTCTTAAAATTCAATGTTTTTATAAAAGAGCTAGACTTGTTATAAACATTATTATACCTTTCCGCTTCAGTATATAGCATGTTTAGTGCATTAATATAATCACAGCATATAATCACATGGCATATCATCTAAAGTTCATTTATCGATGAAGATTACTTTGCCTTTGTTTTTTTATTTATAAATTGCTAAAATGTATTACCAGGGGATTTTACTATGCTTTAAGTGGTTTCGCATGGCAACATCTATCTTTATTTGAGGTCAGAATTTCTATCAACAGCTAGTAGAAGAAAAATAAAGCTCTGCATGACCAAGTGTATAAAATTTAAATTATGGGTCATTTCTCAGCAGATGGACCGCAAAAGAGATTGACATGTTATAAGTCCAATGATCAGCTATTTTTATGAAGACATCAGCCTTAATGCCTTATTTTTGACTACGTTAACCTGGCTATGTATTTTTTGTATATCCAATGTATACAAATAACATACATATATAAGTTCCGATTTTTAATTGAGGTCTTTGAATTTGACTTATCAGGGGTTGAAAGTTTAGGTGACTACAGCATCTTTTAGAGGGCTTGTTGAACCTTAATATGTATCCAAGCTGATCCAAAGCATGACATCCACCTACTCCTGGTCTGTAGACTGGTTTGAATGTAGAATTGTGTACAGAGCCACTAAATGTCATGGTCTTAGCTGCATTTCAAGCTCATGTGAAATCTGGTTGTGAAGGACTTTTCTGATTAACAATCTCTTTAGTCTTTCACTTTGGGATTTTTCTAGTGACAAACCTGTATTATAGTTTTCATAATGGCTTGTGTTCATGCCAACATAAACTTTAAAAATGTTGCTCGATCTGTACAGTATAGTAACCATGATAATACATGTATGTCTTTACATATATCAAACATGCCAACGTTAACTTTCCCTATTTTGGAGGATGACTTGATTTTGAGCCCTAAAATTAACATTTTCAACCAGTAAATTTGCTTAACTGTTTCTGTTTTCTAAGATATGATGATTTCATCTGAGAGAAGAACTGAAAAGATGCCATCAAAAGTGACCCCCCCCCCTTGATGGTGTATATAGACAAAGCTGATTTATGTTTTTAATGTAGAGCATGTGCAATCTCCCCCATGGAAATTTGAAAACATTGGCAAGTATTGCTATATATATAACTACAGCTAAGTCAGAAATCCACCTTTAATAACCTAATTTTATTTCAGTTAACTTCAAGACATGATTGAGTTAATATTACTGGTGTAGCCCTTGTGAGCTGTTGTCCGTCCTCCAACATGTCGACTCTCGAAGCGGTACGTCCTAGGAACTTGATGTCACGAGAGCGTCCGGCATACAAACATCCTCATCATACACAGAAGGCATTTGAAATCCTGAACCAGATGAGAAGGTTTGATATACTAAAGTGAAATCTTGTCTTAAAAATTTACTAACGTTTATAAAAAAATTAGACTGAAAGAAACTTTCATTATGATTAGAACTTAAAAAGTTTATTTTTCATTGGCAGTTGTTATGTTTTTAGGAAACAAGTGATAAAATCAATAATATAAACAATGTACTGGCACATTTCTTGAAATGCCCATTTTTGATTGATGGAATAATGATATCAGAATTAAAGGTACATTTGTAGCTATAACAGGCTTTTGTCAAAGACGAATTAGCAACAAATACGTTTATATTTAAAAAAATCTTGGTCTTTTGTATGAAATACCATATGATTTTTTCAGAGAATGTCTCCTTTGTGATGTGGTGTTGATTGCTGACACAACTGAAATTTTGGCACATAAAGTAGTTTTGTCATCCTGCAGCCAGTATTTCTATGCCATGTTTACTGGTGACCTGGCAGAGGCCAAGTCTGATCGAATCACTCTACAAGAAATAGATCCCGCAGCACTGGTTCAACTGATTGATTTTATGTACACATCAGAAGTAAATGTAACAGAAGAAAATGTGCAGGTACTTATTATGATAAACTCTCTTGCTTTTTCCAGGGATTATTATTTGAAAATTATTTATCTATCTTTTTATAAACAGTTTTTTAGGTCACCTGGCCCAAAAGCCCATGTGAGCTTATGCCGTACTGTGGCGTATGTCGTCCGTCCCCCGTCCGTCCATTATCTGTCCGTCAACTTTTTCTTTGGAACATCTTCTTCTGAAGAACTGGAGTACCTAGGGTCATGCTATTTGGCCATTAGGTACCTGGGATGGAGTGCTAAAAGTTACCTCAAATGACCTTGACCTCCTTCAAGGTCACAGGGGTCTAATATGTTAAAAACTTCAAACAACAATATACTAAGAACCATTTGGACTAGAGTCATAATACTTTGGCATGTTAAGCAGACTAGCTGTGTGAATCATTTTGTTTATTACAGTAATGATGTCAAATGTCAACTTTAAGTGCTAGTCATGGGTCGAAGGTAAACATGGGTTACAAGTTTTAACAATCTTCTCAAGTTCCATAAGGCCCAAGGGTCATGATATTTGGTCAGTAGGTACCTGGAATGGAATGCTATAAAGTTTCCTCATTAAAATGACCTTGACCTCCTTTCAAGGTCACAGGGGTCAAATATGTTAAAAACTTCAAACAACAATATCTTAAGAACCATTTGGTCTAGAGTCATGATACTTGGGTATGTTTATGTAGACCAGCTGTGTGAATCGTTTTGTTTATTACAGTAATGAGGTCAAAGGTAAACTTTAAGTGCTACCAGGAGTCCAAGGTCAATGTGGAATAAAAGCTTAAAAATTAAAATTTTAAATTTCAAACAACAATATCTTAAGAACCGCTTAAGAGATGTTAAAATGTCTTGTGTTCTAGTTACCAAATTTGGTCTGAAGTTACCTTTATGTCAGTTTCATGTAACAAAAGAAACAGTCAAGCAATACAGGCCCTCTGGACCTCTTGTTTTAAAGTCTCATGCCCACAATCTATACCATAAAAGTACTTTTAGAGGTAATCATATATTATCACTGTTATGGTTGTGTAACTTGTTTACCTGTTAGTTTTCTATTGTATATAATTGTATTGTGGATATATGTCAGTTTATCAATGAGTTTATTTGTTAAAATTTGATAACGTGCTAAAATTTCAATATGATAAAATAAGTATGTGTATAAATTACAAAACACTGAATCTGTTTTTTTATCGCTGTTCTTGCTTTTCTTGGTTTTTCATTCCATTTGTATATGTCAAATTCAGCAATAAAATGAAAGAGAACTGTTTCTTCATCAGTTATTGTTTATAAAGTATTACAACTATTGTTCGTTTAGTCACTGACAGAAATGAAACAGCTCTGTACTTGCTGTACAACAGAGATGTGTTTAGCTCACTGAATGGAAGAATAGAGGAGAGGGGACTTATTTGGTTACCCTAACATGGGTATTTAGTAAAGTTATGGTGCAAGTGTTACCATATATAATAGCATGAACAACTACGTCCTAAAACTGTTGAGGTACTTTTGTTGTGTTACAGGTGTTATTGCCTGCTGCTAACATCCTACAGATGACGGAGGTTAGAGATGCCTGCTGCGAGTTTCTTCAGTCCCAGCTTCATCCAAGTAACTGCATCGGCATCCGAGCCTTTGCTGACCTGCATGCTTGTACAGACCTACTTCAGTACTCCCAAACCTACATAGAACAACACTTTGTGTAAGTATAGGATATTATAACAACCCTGCAGCTGACAGGAGGGGGAGAGTCAGCAAGACCCCAGGTTCTAACCTGTGCTTTAGTTTCTGTCATGTAAAACTTTATGATGTAGACTATTACTCTTGTCCTGTGCTACATCAAATATTTTGTAATCCTAACTTTAACACTGGAAGCCACATGATCTGTATCAGTTTGAGTCATGCTAAGACTACTCTTTCCTGGCACAAGCGTTGTTCATCATTACCCCCTGACTTAACGGTTAACACAGGAGCTAACATACTCCAGAATATTTCACTTAGACCTATGATATATTTTGAGCAGGAAGGATTACTCTTAAATGAGTTTTTTGTCGAATTTTTTTCCAATTTTTGTTGTCATTGGACAAGATTTGTTTATTAGCTATAGGGGAAAGTAATATAACTGTTTACAATTGATATTCTATTTATATGTTATAATTGACAGCTTTACTCTTTATCTTTCATGAATAATTTTATGAATAGATATTTTTTTGCTGATTTTTTGTTTGCTTTGCTAAAAAATACACCAAGAAAATATATTGGTTTTGGTATCGCAAACATATTTGAGGTCTAAACAGGTTGTGATACCAATTCAGTAACAGCAGTAACTTAGTAAGCTCAGCATCCTTAACTTGTCAAAATCAGCTCAAAGCCTAAACAAGGATAATTGACTGACTTTTTCGTGTTCATCTAGCATTTCATAATATTTAGCCCCCCGTCATCAGATATTCATATATCACCACTATATCCTAGTTAGAACCAAGGAGATGGGTAGGCATTATTGCCCATAAATACGTTTTTTGAGTTACAATAAACGCTAGATGATGCATGCTGTATGGGATACTCTCAAAAGCGGACAATATAGCCCAAGAAGGAAAAACTAACTTCTAAACTATATAACTAATCATAATCAGGAATGATTACATACAATTTATAGCGAAACCGATTGTAATTCACGATCCATGGGAAGCAACTTGGGCTAACGATAAGTAAGTAATTCTATTGAAATTTCTGACTACAATTTTCTCCCAAAATGCTGTCAATAGCATTTATGTTTGGGTCCTTATTTCAATATTCTGGGGATTCTTGTAATATTTGGATTTGGTCCTGCCAATGAATATATGTTCTAATCTGAAAGTGTCCTGTTTATTTCAGTTGTTGTATGAGTTGTTACCAACAATAATTCATAATGAGTAGGGGTGTGTAATATTACCGGTATTCCAGTATTGTAGTAGGTAAGAGTCTATACAATAACGGTAGGCAAAATTAAAAAAACAAAAATATACATACTGCAGTGTAGAGGTTTGTTTTCTTTATTTCTGGCATAAGAGGGAACGTGGTGTTGAAGTTATTCAAACTTGATCAATAATTGTTAAACCACATCAGTAGAATATATTAATTATTGAAATATCACAAGAAAAAGAGTTACAATAATTCAAAAGTAATCCTCCCAGGTATTTAATCGTGGACAATATATTGCTTATATTGACCTTATACATGGCTAGAAATGGTTCTTAATTGTTTTAGTTAAAATACTCGTCAAAGATTTGTAGTTTCATGTAACACATATTTGTATACCCAATTGTCAAGTTGTATATGTATATTTCAAACATTTTGACAAGCAAATAAAGAAAACAGAACATTCGGGGGACTGTGTAATTTTATTGATAAGTTTTAAGAAAAAGAATTTCTACTACATCAGTACATTGATTTTATGATATATAAAAATGATGTTTCTTGTTAATAAACATGTACATAATAAAGACATTGTACAGATCTACAATTACAGCGGTCAACTTCAGAGCATATGAAAAGATGACCCACTGGGCCTGTTGAATTTGTTGCCATCAGACACAACCAGTCCCTTACCAAAAAATTGGTTAAAGACATGAATATTTTTTTCTATTTTTTTTTTCTAAATTATTTTAAACAATCATGTTAGTTTTCAGAATGTTAAAATTCAAAATTAAATCTCCAAATTGGTTGGTCAAAAACAGAGTCAACAGGCATTTGAAAATGTTCATATACCTTCACATAATTATTTTTTTGCATTATATATGATAAATGACTGTTTAAGTTTTGAGATAATAGTCTTGTTAATGTGTGTCTGTGTTTCACATTTGTTTTATCAAACATATAGGTTCCCCACAAAGGTGATGATTGGTTATCATGTTATCTAACTCAAGTTGATTTTCAAATTGTATAATTAACTAACGAGAGTTCATTGAACATAACCAACCATCACCCATTGGGGACCTTTTTCTCCCATAACGTTTAGATATTACATCTAAGAAGCAATAGGTTTCTCTTGAGAATATAATATTTCTGTTCCCCTCAGGGAAACCAGCCATGACTCATGTCGTCACAAAAGAAGATGACATCATAAAGAACTGTTACTTGACATCATAATTAGAAAATGTACCACAAATCAGTAATGTAGAATGTTTACCAACTCCTAGCAGGTTTATCAAATGAGTCAGGAGTGAGGATATCTATAATGGTTGTGGAAGAGAAGTACATTTCTGATAGACAATTTAAAGAAGACACATGACCATATAGACCAGGGAATAATCTCAAACAAAACCATGAATGTGTGAACATACACACTGATGACCAACCTTTGGATAGTAAATCTAGAGAACAGATACTGTTAACAAACATATTTTAGCGGGGTCTTATTTTAGTGTTTTTATCGTTTTAATTACTGTGCTAAATTGTGAATGAACCAAATGAAGTTCTTGTGTTTTGTTCTTTAACGCATGTTTTTTGGGTGCATCAATTCATCAATGTATGAAAATTTGTTAATGCGCTTAAATTTGAGTGCACCAAAAAAAGCATGTTTACAGTATACTGTGTATAAAAGCTTTATGATATTACAACTTTAAACAGGAAAGATACATATAATTTTAAAAACATATGGCATATCAGGGGCTATTCACTCTACTCAGCTTAATATACGCTAAATACACCTTAAACTTGAACTTTCATACAACTAGACTTGAAATATACTCAAGGGGAAGAAGCAAGACTCTGTCTAACTCCTCTGTCTAGCTCCAGAGAAGCCACCTGACTTTAAGCATTTATGAAGATGACTAGAAATAAAATATAAGACTCTTAAGTGAATAACCTAGCAAAGAATTTCAATTCTGCTTAACTCCAGAGAAGGGTCTTGACTCTATATAAGACTCTTAAGCAAATTAATCAAGAGAAAAAGCTTGGAATTGCTGAACACCAGGGCTACTTATTGGATTTGTATACAGCTAGAATCCAAAGATAAACCTAGAGAACATCCTTCAGTTCAATGACTGTAGAATGTGCACCTTTTGTATCATTAAAATATTTAAGTTCTAATTTAATATCTACCCTTCTTATATTTGTTGCGAAAAAAGATGTCGCACACTATGAACCTCTTTTTTTCTTTTCCAAAGAGGGTCATCACCCTCTTTCAGTATATATGGGGTTGGCAGGTATTTCCTTGACTCTGCTAAACTCCAGAGAATCGATTTGACTATTAATTATAATGTAAGACTCTAAACAAATAACATAGAGGAGAAGCTTGCCTCTGCTGAACTTGTAAGTATCAACTTGACTCTAAGACTCCGAAGCAAAGAAGCTTTACTCTGCTTAACTGCAGAGAAGCAATTTAACTCTAGATCTATGAGAAATTTATTCTTGCTGTTGTGTTATTGAAACAAACATTTGAGCTAGCATAGCACAAGAAAGTGACAAAAACTGAGCTGTCAGAACCAAAACACACCAAATAAAATGCATCAGTTTTAATTTAAAGCACATTTTTTAAAAACTAGCCATAATATAGCAACAACAAAATATAGCAACAGCAAAATATCCCAATTGAAGATATTCATTGGTAATAGACAGTTTTCGGCTTAAGTATGTTTACTTTTCATCCTTATTGATTGAGTTTTCCTCCAATCTGTTCCCTTTCCCAAACATCTTCTTTTTCTCTTATGTGTGGTGGTATTACCGGTACTTTGTTTTTTATCGATTTCTTCCAAGCTAGCATTATAGCTGTAGATATACAGCAGGGTTGAAATCCATGCGAGACTTATCTTCTGTTTCTGAATTTTTGTTGTCATCCAGCCTGTTCCTACTCTCTTACGGGGGGTAGTGTTGAAGCTGGCAATATAGCTGTATATATACAGTAGCAGAGATATCCATGTGGTACTTATCTCCTGTTCTCCAACTTCCTCTTCTTCTCCATTACTGAGGCTTCCTCCTTGCTGTTTTCTGATCCCACTTCTCTTCTTTAGTCCTCTATTGACATTACTGAGGATTCCACCTTGACTTTTTTGGATTCCTAGTATTTCATCCAGACTTGGAACCCGTTGTCTCTTTTTTCTTTCCCTTTTTTCTTTCTGGACAAGATTTTTAATTTTGCCTGAATTATCCTCTTCCATATCAAAGCTGTTCCTGGTTTCTTTGGTAATTTCTGCAGTTACAGTCTGTCCCATTGTTGGATGAAGTGCATTATTTTTAGAAATGCCATCAGTAGAAATTGATTTAGCTGGTGGAGGAATTAAGTCTCCATCTGGGATGTGACACATCTCTTCACTGGAGTTGTGTATAATTCTGGAATTAAAGCCACAAATATTGTGTAAAAAGTGGTGTGAATTGTGGACATACAGAATATATAGTAGAAAATATATTTGTAATAGCGATGGGAAATTTGCTGAAAATCATAATCAATTATCTGTTGACAAATTGGCCTATACTGACTAATGATAAGAAATAAGAAATGTAACTTTCTCCTCTTATTTATGTTAAGAACAGAGGATTGCTATTTGATTTTAGATAAATTTTAGATAAACAGGTGTTATACAAAGACTAATTTTGATCCAATATATTTTCCTGATATAATCTTGTAATATAGCATTGTATTGCAATCATAAGGATGATTTTATATAGTTTGAGGAGGGGGTAAAATATGTGGAAATAATGGGGAAATAAGTGAATATATTTGAAATAAAATTACTCCTAAAATATAGCTGAAAATATTTTGTATGTGATATCAATGGTCCATGGAAATTCAAATGGTGTCATGGGAAGGGGGTTTACCTCATAACTGAACCAGTAGGTATTACTTGTGGTGTTGTCTGAGAACTTGGGCATCTGGATGCCATTTTTGGTTCTCTGTAATGAAATCAATACATATAAGTCATTTGATTTCAATTTATCAATCAAACAAACATAACTCGACCAATCAAAAACGAGAGTTTCAGGGACATGTGAAGTCTGAAGTCTAATGCAGAAGTATGTGTGTTGTTGATGATGATAGCCAAAAATAAAATCAGGCTAACAGTAAGTATGTATTTAATTTTTTAAGACACTAAAGGTATAGTTTGGAAGACCACAGGACTAGTTGAACAAACTATATGCTTTCAGTCATATGTCAAAATTTCTAGGAGGTAACATGAAATAGACAATGTTATTGACTGTAGAAAGTTTGCTATTTAACAAGAAAATCAAATCTGTATTTAAATCAGCTTTTCGAAACGGATACTTTTATTTCTTACTTACCTGTTCAATGAAAATAAATCTCAATGTGAGCATGAGCTGTGGATAGCTACTGTTGACAATTTTGGGGGTTCAATAAGTGTGCAACCATGCTGATATTTTATATGGGAATTCTTTGTGTCAGTTTTAGAAGATCTGTCAGACAAAGCAGACATATACTGTAGCTGTGGGAACCATAGCTTCTAGGCCCAATCTTTTTAATGTTTTTTTTTTTATTGTTATCAGACTCTGGTCTGTTAACAATATTTTTTTTTTTAAAAGATCAGGCCTAGAAGCTACGGTTCCCACAGCTAACATATACTGGACAGATACACTTCTTTTGACTATTGAAATATTCAGTATAAGGCTTTCGATGACATTGGTTTCATCTTGGCTCTTTGCTATACATAGAGTGTTAAAGAGAAGACCTACAGATAGGTGAAGGGGAATCACAAGTGTTTGCTTAAATCTGCTATCATTGAACCCAGCTACCCTATGCACCGATGTGTTTTTATTCACCTCAGCCTTATAAAAAACTGATCCCACCCTTCTGTTTTCAACAAGATTTCTAAAGGATTATAAATCTACGTATGTTGAAATATTTTGTACACGACCTTGACATGATTTCATACATTGTTTGTTGCCGTAGCTCATATATTGTATGTAAAAGCTTGCCGTAGCTGAAACCTGCCTTATGCCACTCACAAAATATAACACCTTTTTCATCATAAATTTAGTACAAACATCAAATTCCTCCTTGTATAATATATGTTGTATATAGAATTTTAATGAATCATCTCCATGTCCCAGTCTGAGTCACGTGTCTCATCCGGAAGTATGTAACGCCAGAAGTAAAGGCCAGTAACTCCTTCAAAAGTCGTTTATCGAGTTTCAATCCATAGGAAATCCTTCAGATTTGGAGTTGCATGTCCTTTTTATAGTTTAGGAGAGAGTTGTAAATAAAGGAAATATTTTATTAGGGCCCCGTATCGGAGATACGGGTGCCCTATAGTAATCACTCTGTCTGTCTGTCTGTCTGTCTGTCTGTCCGTCCACAAATTTTGTTCCTGGCTGATAACTTTGGTATTTATTGACCGATGTACATGAAACTTGGTCAAGATGTTCAGTTCACAAAATACACATTGAGGTAAAAAGTCAAGGTCAAAGGTCAAGGTCATTAGGTTCAAATGTCAAGGTCAAATTTTGCATCTTTTCACTGATGAACATTTTGTTATGACATTATGAAGCAAAGTTGATCAGAATAAAACAAGGAGTCAACCTTACCAAATGTCAAGGTCATTAGTTCAAATGTCAAGGTTGAATTTTGTATCTTTTCACTGGTGAACATTTCGGTATGACACTTTGATGCAATGATGCTCAGAATTAAACAAGGAGTCAACTGACCAAAGGTCAAGGTCATCTGGTCAGGGGTCAAGGTCAAATTTTGAGCCTTTCACTAAAGAGCATTTTATGACATGAAGCAAACTTGTTCAGAATTAAACAAAGAGACACACTGAGGTAAAAAGTTGAGGTCAAAGGTTGAGGTCATTAGATTCAAAGGTCAAGGTTCAATTTTGTATCTTTTCACTGGTGAACATTTTGTTATGACACGATGAAGCAAAGTTGATCAGAATTAAACAAGGTGTCAACCTGGCCAAATGTCAAGGTCATTGGGTCAAAGGTCAAGGTTCCATTTTGTATCTTTTCACTGGTGAACATTTTTGTATGACACTTTGAAGCAATGTTGCTCAGAATTAAACAAGGAGTCAATTGACCATAGGTCAAGGTCACTGGGTCAAAGGTGAAGGTTAAATTTTGTATCTTTTCCCTGATGAACATTTTTGTTATGTCATTATGCAGCAATGTTGGTCAGAATTAAACAAGGAGTCAATTGACCAAAGGTCAAGGTCACTGTGTCAAAGGTCACGGTCAAATTTTGTATCTTTTCCCTGATGAACGTTTTGTTATGACTTTATGAAGCAAAGTTGGTCGGAATTTAACAAAGAGTCAACGGACTTAAGGTCAAGGTCACTCGTTCAAAGGTCAAGGTAAAATTTAGTATTTTTTTTGCTGGTGAATATTTCATTATGACACTTTGAAGCAATGTTTGTGGGAATTAAACAATGCGTCATTCTTGATGATTATGGGTGATATTTTGCCACAAGACGGGGCCCTTACTGACCTGTCAGTGTTCTAGTTATGATTTCCTTTTCCACAAAAACATCTTAGCTGGCCTGCAGGGATTTAGTCTCAAGAACTACTGATTAAATAACAGAGAACTTATCCAATGCGTTAGTGGTCACGTTACAATGTATTTGTTAATAACTGTCTGCAACATTCCTGGGAACAATTGCAAAATTATTAAACTTCCTAAAACGATCTGTAACCTATAGTTGCCTTTGAATATACAGGAAAGAAAAAAAAAAGACTGAAAAATAACGTTTTGAAGACTGCATAGGGTAAAATAGCCTTGGAATTCTATACCTTTAAATGGCAAGACACGATCCTGAATCAGAATATGTAATTATCAATGACTATAGGGTATTCAGGCAGAAACATCTTATACATTGTACACCTGCAAAGTGTGTATACACTCTGTTTACCCTAAAGCCCTTAATATTGCTATATATTATCAACATAACAGGAGAGAAATAAAAATTACAGTGTTTTGTAGATTACAGAATTTCTGCATCCAACATGCTCTAAAAGTATTTTGCCAGCTTACAAAATAAACAAAAGTTGTTTAAATAGTGTAGTGTTTTGCAAGGAGGTATACTTTGCTTAATGTCAACAGTCAAATAAGTAAAAACTTTTCAGTACCATCTACTTCGGGCCGTTACTTTCAAACTGTTCAAATAGTTTGATGAATCTTGCAGTAAGTATACCGATACCTGCATCACCCATAGATGATGTGCAGTGCACTGTCATTAGGTCACTGTGACTTTGACCTCAAGGTCAGATGTCAAAAATGTGGAAACTTTTCAGGTGCAACTTATAAACTGTTAAGGTACTTTGACCTCTGCATCATAACTTTTTAATTGCTTTAATTGCTTTAATCTTAGTTATTTGTCTGTTCTCTCTCTCTCTCTATTAATATTAAAAAAAATATCCAGAGGAAGAACCATATTGTAATAAGATGTGCAGTAATTCCTATACCTAGTAGATGTATTTATCTACATATACCATACCTTCCAAAACCTGACCAGAAGTGTTAAAACAATATAAAATGAAATAGAAAAAAAAAAATCCCGCACACCCAACATAATCCAAAACTAGCAAGTAACTATTTGGGGAACCACAAAAACTTATATTTGTTTTGGGTTGAATATTACAGTGACTTGTGTGAAAATACAGTAGTTTCCCAGCTCTAAGAAGAATATCGTTCCACTTCACAGGATGGTTACCAATGGGTCAAGAAGCTAGGCCACCCTAAAAATTGAGCTGTCAAAGATCAAGGTCACAATCAATTGCAAAAAATTCTAGACTGTTAAGTTGGCTATCTGCCTATCTAGGACCTTCAAACTTTAAAGCTTGACACAGTGTTTAGACTAACCGTATAGACATATAGACTATCACCATGATAAACAGTGTAGGTTCATGGGATTCAATTACTTTATAGATTATATTGTGTAGGAAGTCATATCTAAAATGTGAATGATTGTAAAAATAATTATTCAAATAAGAAAAAAAATGTGTTCTCTAAAGTTGTCTTTCTTCTAGAATCCCTTATTGCACATATTTTCATATGATCAGCACTCAATGTATAAGTGAAATTTTTTGGTCAAGGATTGATCTATTAAATATTTATCTAGGTAATTGACTACCCATGGGGTGAGGATGAAACCTTTTTATATTGGGATACAAAACTCCAGAAATTTAATCTGTGTGAAAATAATTTAATGCATTTAAATTAAATGTGTATGGTAAACTATTAATGTTGATCTAATTAGATATCTGCAGGTCAGGGATTGAAAATATATGCTGCATCCATTGCATTATTTAGAAACTTTCTTTTTCTCTTTACTTTAATGTTGAATATTCACCCAGGTGATGAAGGCAATGGGTTCTGTCCCCATGCCGGGACATACCAAAGTCCTTAAAAATGGCAGTTGCTTTTTTCTGCTTCACGTTCAGCATGGAAGGTAATGACAACAACTAGTTCACCCATGTATTGAACCAGGCCGAATTCTATGCTGAGTGCTGTTGGCATGGTAATTTAGTTTTGTAACACTTCGAAGACAGCGTTAGATCAGCGCTATCAGAACCAGGCAATAACACCAACATACCCTGCCTCCAGCACTCATACACGCATGCTTCCATACATTACACACAAGGACGCATGTCCTTAAATGACCTTAGCTGTTGATAGGGCATTAAACCATATCAAACCAAACCATCTAAATAGATCAAATATATGATGTTGGCTGCCTATTTAATACATGCTAATCCTAAACCTTAATTAGGGCCCCGTATCGGAGATACAGGTGCTCTTTAATAATCACTCTGTCTGTCTGTCTGTCTATCTGTCTGTTCGTCCATCTGTCCGTCCACAAATTTTGTTCCTGGCTGATAACTTTGGTATTTATTGACCGATGTACATGAAACTTGGTCAAGATGTTCAGTTCACAAAAATACACATTGAGGTAAAAAGTCAAGTTCAAAGGTCAAGGTCAAAAGGTTCAAAAGTCAAGGTCAAATTTTGCATCTTTTCACTGATGAACATTTTGTTATGACATTATGAAGCAAAGTTGGTCTAAATATAAAAAGGAGTCATCTGACTTAAGGTCAAGGTCATTTTATGTTATTATGTAGCAAAATTGTTCAGAACTTAACACAGAGTCAACTGACCCTAGGTCCAGGTTACGGGGTCCAAAGGGTCAAGGTCAAATTTGTATTTTTCACTGATAAACATTTTTATGAAGCAAAGTTGGTCGGAATTAAAGAAGAAGTCAACTGACCAAAGATCAGGGCCACTGGGTTAATGGTCAAGGTCATTTGGATCCAAAGGTCAAAGACAAAGTGGATCTCTGACTTTGACCCTGGTTCTTGATGGAGGAGGTATATAAGGTGAAATAAAACAAATCAAAGCTAACAAATGAGTATTGCACCGGTATTTACATTTCTGTTAGCCCAGCAAATATGGAGGTGGAAGGAAACAAGACTCACATGATAGTACATGTAAAATGTATATTTTGCTTCCTTACGATTCTTTTTGAAGTCCAAATGTCAAACGTCAAGCTCAGCTATATAGGCAGATTGCTTCTTGATGATTATGGGGGATATATTGCCACAAAACGGGGCCTTTACTGACCTGTCAGTGTTCTAGTTTATTTAGAGAATCAGCAATTATCTTGTTCTGTGGCAGAAAGTTCCTTAATGAGTACCAGTTAGTAAAACGAGCTCTTGGATTGCTGTTGATCTTATAGTTAAAGGCTGTTAAATGAATTAACCTGTGTGTAATTAACCTGTGTGTAATTAACTTGTGTGTAATTAACCTGTGTGTAATTAACCTGTGTGTAATTCTGTGTATTTGACAGAGATGTGGTACAACATGATGAGTTCCTGTCCCTCCCCTCGTCTGAAGTGGCCAAGATGATCTCAAGTGACCGTCTCACTGTCACATCTGAAGAACAGGTAAAACATTTGAAATGCAGATCTACTATGTCCCTGCTTGCAAGCATGTCCTTTAAAATAACCCCTTTCAGTTGTACCCTAAAATATGTAGCAAGATTGCATAAGATTATTTAAAACAATTCAAATTTGTAGCCTGACGGTTACCATTGTGTTGTAAAACCTCGTGGAGAGCATTAGTGTGTTGTTGTATAAGGTGATATGTTACATACTTTGTAAAGGTATATGAAGCAGTAATGATGTGGGTCCAACATAATCGTACCACGCGGGAAGACTTTCTGGCTGACCTCCTGGAACATGTGCGTCTGCCGTTGGTTACACATGAGTACTTGATACAGAGAGTGGACGAGGAGCCACTCATCAAGATCAGCAGTCGGTGTAAGGATTTCCTCATAGAGGCTCTTAAGTTCCATCTACTCCGGTCAGAGCAGAAGGCAGCCTACAAATCGCCTAGGACCCTGCCACGTACCCCACGTGGACTTCCAAAGGTAGAAATATGTTTACTCATTTGAAACAGGTACTGATTTCAGATTCACGAAAAGCAAAAATTGATCTCAGAGTTTCTTAACATTGAAGTTGTGGCTATGAGCTAAATGCATTCTGCTAGGCCTCAAACTCCTAGCCCCTGACTTTGATGTCTTTCATGCCAAACACTAAGCCACATAACCCTCTTATACTGTTGTAGGTGCTGCTAGTGATCGGGGGACAAGCCCCTAAGGCCATCAAGAGTGTGGAATCGTATGACTTCAAGGAGGGCAAATGGAGCACGCTGGCCGAGATGCCTTCAAGGAGGTGTCGCTGTGGTGAGTCTATGTAATGAAGAAAGTCGGATAGTTCAGGGCTTTTCTGGGTTTCCCTGCAGGTCTAGTCAAAGAAAGTTCTGTCTATATTTTGCACAATTTCATGCTACATTATACAGTTTTATGTTAACATATCTGCCAAGTCACCTGCAGTTACCTCAATACAAAAGCATTCTTGTAAGCTCAATATTATTACCTGGCAATGTGGCACAAAATTTGATCCACACGAACTACTTTGATCAGGATAACCATGAAATATTAGCCCCACAAAATGAAATAACTCTACAGTGTATAGCCAGTATTTTATAGGATAGATTAACCTTAATCTATAAAATATTACCCCAGTAATCCAGCCACATGTTAGGTTAATGGAGTTTAGAGGTACACCACTTCTAGTATTCTCTCCAATTTTGCATCTTTAATATGTAAACTTCGCCAAGAATTTGTTTCATAACAATGAATTTCATAAATCAATTGACATGAAATTGAATACACCATTACAATATTTATCTGGCAATAGTTTTAAAGAAATGCTACAAATTGCTGTTTCATTGTCCATTAAGTCATCCTTCCCACTTTGAAACTAGTACTACGGGTATGTGTCGGCCACCCGGCCTTATTTTAGGATAAGTACAGCGGTATTATAGCTACATACCAAGATTTTACAATAACTAAATATCAACTCTTGGTTGTAAATACACAGTGTCCTTTGTAACAACTAAACCAACAAAACTGATTTTCTGTATGGCTGATTCTCCCTGCTATCTGTAGGTGTGGCAGTTGTTAGCGGGAAGGTGTATGCAGTGGGCGGATTTAACGGGTCACTGAGAGTACGGACAGTGGACATGTACGACCCGATGAAGGATGTCTGGACTTCCTGTCCTAGTATGGAGGCACGGCGTAGTACACTGGGAGTTGCTGTCCTAAACAGTGTCATCTACGCTGTCGGAGGGTTTGATGGATCATCAGGTAATGTGGAAAACCAGGACATACAGCAAAGGACTCGAAGTAGCAACTATTTTAATTGTCTTAACAAACAGAAATACTCATTTGCTATCTGTAGTTGCTCTTAAAGCACCGCACTTGTGAATGAAAATAATTCATGTATTTCATTTTTAAGTCAGCAGAGACAAAGTCAAATGTTACCTAATGTCGACCATTCCTCCTCGGGAGGGGGGTATCAAAAGTTTCTATAGGTGTAGTTTATGTATGGAAATAAGACTTTTTTGTTTGTTTTTATTCGAAAATAATTCACATTGGAGTGTATTACCATAGGATGGTAGTTTGATTGTATGAAAATTAAGAATTTGACCCATCTTAAGGGCCTGAGCGGTGGGGCCCACAAGGGTTAAATTGGTTAAAATTTCAAGTTTCTTATATCCCTATCTTGAAACACTGGATTTCAATGCTTGTCATGGATGGAAGGATGGAAGGATGTTCATGTTTGTAACATGGGTCAAAATATGTCTTCTCACAACTTCTTAACATTCTTAAGGTTTAGATCTATGGTGACCTGAGTGTACAGGTGTGTTTGGCCAGTCTGTACCGTCTTCTTTGGATAGAAATAATAGATGGGTTTTAGATAGGTTTGAAGGGTAGAATGTGAAATCATGAGATTAATCATATTTATTTAATGTAAAGTTGGTAATGCATTACAGGTTATACTTTTGCACTAATATTTAGACAACATGTAGAAGGGAATGGTTTATTTTATTTTGTTGAATTAATTTTCTGAATGATTTCAAGGACTGGACACTGCTGAATGCTTTGACGTGCGGACAGAAGAATGGCGGACGATAGCCAACATGAGTACCAGGCGTAGCAGTGTAGGAGTAGGAGTACTGGGAGGTGAGTACTCACAATTATAACGCACAGCCTTATTTGATCACATGGCAGTTTATTTGTCCCCCACTCCGTCTATACGGCAGTCTGTACATTACTTTGTCTTTGGCATATACTCTGTCACCTGTGATTGCCAGATTTATACCTCTTTTGGTGGTGGAGTGTGGCATTTTGAAACCAGGGCCCGTATTCATGAAGCCGTTCTCATGCTCAAGTATGGATTTTGTGCTCAAGTCTAATTTCTTGTTCCAGTTATAAATTATTTAAAAAATATTTTTTTGTTAAAGTTTTAGACATAAATTGAAGAAACTAGAAGCCAAATACTGTTTTCAATATTTAAATTTGTCTTTTTGATGGTTGACATAATTTAGGTGGGTTACAAGAAAAGTGGCTTGAGCACAGAATCCATGCTTGAGCATGAGAACGGTTTCATGAATACGGGCCCAGGTCCCATGCCCACATGACAAAGTTTACAGCCCTTTTATTTCCTTGCATCAATTTATCCAGGGCATATTTCATATTCTATCTCCAGCAGTTGCCAGATTTTAATGTACTTGCAATACTTTTCCTTGTCTGGGTGTAATCTTAATTGGAAATGTTGTATATATAGAAGGATCAGTTAATTAAGAAATCAAAAGCCACTATTCACTTGAACAGATAATTAGGTGAAAAAAATAACATACTTAAACTATACTGTTTCCTTACAAGACTTGAACATCCAGATAAATGGGAAAATATTCTCTGGTCTGTTACTGGTTAAGTGAAGCTGGTTTTACTGTGTTACATCTATGTTATGACAAAAGAATATCAATTCATAGTTACACACAAATAATTAAATATTTTATCATTCGACCCATTCAGGTAATCCAACAGAACAGAACTTGCCTCTTGTGCCAGATGTTAATTTCACATCATTCCAAGTGTTCAATTTGCTTTTATACCTGATGTTAGATTTCATTTTGAGACAGATATGCAAATTACTGTATTAAACATGTTCAGTCAGTTTTATTCTAACTGTTCAATACACTTTCTTCCAGATCTAGATGTTCAATGCACTTGTGTGCAAGATGTTCAATGCAGGGGTTTTGCCAATGCTCAACTGCCCTATGAAATTTTCATGTTATTTCAGGACATCTGTTTGCTGTCGGAGGATATGACGGGGCGTCTCGACAGTGTCTCTCGTCTGTGGAGTGTTATAATCCTCAGCTGGATACCTGGACATCGGTTGTGGAGATGTCGTGTCATCGGAGTGGAGCAGGTACCAATAACCATTACAGACACAAGCTCAAAGCATTACTAAGCTTTTTTCCCCCCTAAAACATTCACCCCTGAAATTTCATAATGAAATATTCCAACCTTTGAATTGGAAGAGTTCATATGTGTCTTCAGGGGTGACTGAGTTAAATACTGATTGCTTCAACCAAACATTGAGCATTTTTCATGTAAAATGAGTCACTTACTCACGGAGATTCTAATCTTTGAGATGGAAAAATCAGTATTCACAGACTAAGTTAAGAAGTATATTAAGTGGTCTCTTATTGCTGTTGGTGACTTAATGCAGGTTAAGTTAGCAGGAAAATAGCTGCAATGGAGTTTTTAAAGTGGTCTCATAACAGAGGTGGTTTCTTGATAGAGGTGATATCTAAAGCAGGTTCGGCTGCACTAAGTGTCAAGGCTCGAGGATCATGAAACAATCTTGTCGTAAGTTTTGACCGAGCCAATCACAAATAATGTCATGAAAAGTGACGCCATATGTGATTGGCCTGATGAAATAATGAAGTGACCTTGACATTTTTACCGATAGTCATCATGTGACTTTTACTTTCATTATAATCATATGACCTTTTGTAAATATGTATGTCCTTTGAATCATTGGCATTGACATCATTTTGAAGTTTTAGATTGATCTTCTAACTTTTAACACATTTGACCCCCAGGTGTGGGTGTGGTAGACGGCCTGCTGTATGCAGTAGGTGGGCATGATGGACCGCTTGTCAGGAAAAGTGTTGAGATGTTCAACTCCGAAACGAGCACCTGGTCACAGGTGGCAGACATGCACCTTTGTAGGAGAAATGCAGGTAAAAAAATCTACTCTTTTGCAGAATTAGAATATTCCCCTTTGGTTACAAATATGTTGGTAAATGTGTAATCATATTTTGATAACATTTCAATTTTAACAAGATGAGAAACTGAGTGGCTGTTACACCAGAACCAAGATATGAAATTGTACAAATGATAGGGCTGACCCCCAGGGAGCTTTGGGGTGGGGCCAAAAGGGGGCAATTTGGCTATATTGCTATAAACGACTACTTCTGTAGAACTATGCACTGGATATAAATCATATTTTGTCAGAAGCATTCATGGGAGGTGGGGATTCAAAATTGTACAAATAGTGGGGCTGACCCCACGGGCTAAGGGTCGGGGCCAAAAATATTTTATTACTTGGAAATGTTTGAGATCCCCATCCTATAACCATATATACAATTGCTACCGGTAAGTATAAAGAAAAGAATGCACATACGCTTCCAGGATGGCCCTGGGGTCTGGCTACACCCTTGGAGACATAGTCCCTGGGTTGTAACTTTGAAACGGTTGAGATCCCCACCCCAAAACTATATATATACAAATGCTGGGCATAAAGAGACCAATGCAGTCATGATATTAGAATTGACCCTCAGGTCTGGCCACACCCCTAGGGATCTAGTTGCTGGGTCTCAGTTTGGAAACACCCTATAACAATATATACAATTGCTGAATATAAAAAATAAATGCACCTATAAGATTCCAGGATGGCCACAGGGTCTGCCCCACCCTTGGAGACTTAACCCCTGGGTTGTAACTTTGAAACAGTTAAGATCCCCACCCCAAAACTATATACAATTGTTAGGCATAAAGAGAAAAATGCTGTCATGATATTAGAATTGACCCCAGGGTCTTCCCCACCCTTGCAAACTGAACCCCTGGGTCATGACTTTGAAAGAATTGAGATTCCCACCCTTAAACTATATATACAAGTGCTGGGCATAAAGAGACCAATGCAGTCATGATATTATAATTGACCCTGGGGTCTGGCCACAACCCTAGGGACCTAGTTTCTTAGTCACAGCTTGGAAACAGTTGAGATTCCTATCCCATAACCATACATAAAATTGCTGGGCATGAAAAAGCTAATACAGATATGCTACAAGGTTTGGCCTTAGGGTCTGGCCCATTCCCTTGGTACTTATTAGCTTATGTCATGGTGCAGCGTCCGTCCTTCGTCCGTCCGTCTTCGTCTGTCAACTTTTCCTTTAAACAACTTCTTCTGAAGAACGGACAGGCCTAGAGGCATGATATTTAGCTGAAAGCTTTGTTGGTAGGAGCCCTACAAAGGTTGAGAACGAAAATGACCTTGACCTACTCTCAAGGTCACAGGGGTCAAATGTGTCAAACACTTCAAACGACTATTTCTGAAGAACTGAAAGGTATAGAATCTTTATATTTGGCTTGTGGCTTCCTGGGATAGAGCCTAACAAAGTTTGAGAATGAAAATTAGTTTGACCTACTTTCAAGGTCACAGGGTTCAAATATGTTAAAAACTTCAAACGACTTCTTCTGAAGAACTAAAAGGTATAGAATCTTCACATTTGGCTGATGGCTTCCTGGGATGGAGCCCAACAAAGTTTTAGAATGAAAATTACCTTGTTCTACTTTCTAGGTCACAGGGGTCAAATGTGTCAAAATTTCAAATTAATTCTTCTGAAGAACTGAAAGGTATGGAATCTTTATATTTGGCTAGTAACTTCCTAGAAAAGAGCCCAACAAAGTTTGAGAATGAAAATGACCTTGACCTACTTTTTAGGTCACAGGAGGCAGATATGTCAAACACTTCAAACGACTTCTTCTGAAGAACTGGAAGTTATAGAACCTTAATATTTGGCTGGTTATTTCCTGGGAAAGAGCCCAACAAAATTTGCGAATGAAAGTGACCTTGACCTTCTTTCAAGGTCACAGGAGTTAGATATGTCTAATGCTTTGAACAACTTCTTGTGAAGAGCTGAAAAGTATAAAATCTTAATATTTGGCAGGTGGCTTCTTTGGAAAGAGCCAAACAAAGTTTGCGAATGAAAATGACATTGACTTAGTTTCAAGGTCACAGCGTTCAAATATGTCAAACAGTTCAAACTACTTCTGAAGAATTACAAGGCATAAAATTATAATATTTGGCTGGTGACTTCCTGTGAAAGAACTCACCAAAGTTTGCGAATGAAAATGACCTCAACCTACTTTAGAGGTCACAGAGGTCACAACATTTTAATGGATTTGTTCTTAAGAACTAAAAGGAATGGATTCATAAGATTTTGCTGGTAGCATTTTGGAATAGAGCTTACCAATTTGAGAAGGAAAATGACATTGACCTACACAGGGTAAAATATGTCAAGCAACTTCTGAAGAAGAATAAAAAAGCATAGAATCTTACAACAATATTTTGCTGGTAGTTTCAACAGATGGAGCCAACAAAGTTTGCGAGGGAAATATTTTTAGTGCAATATAATATTTAATGAGAATATTTTGCTATGACTGCTTAAATATTTAGGTGAGCGATACAGGCCCTCTTGGGCCTCTTGTTAGGAGAATATTTTGCCAAGATTGCTTAGATATCCAGGTGAGCGATACAGGCCCTCTGGGCCTCTTGTCATTTGAACAAAATTAAAACATCTTGAAAGTTTCATCTGAATTAAACAAATAAATATGCAAAACCATTTGTTATAAAATGCTCTCTAATACAAAACTAATTTTGAGCAAGTCACAACAACTAAAAATATGAATTTATGTATAAATGTTTCTCTGCAGGTGTGGTGGCCAACGGAGGATATCTCTTTGTTGTTGGCGGTGACGATGGAACTTCAAATCTAGGATCAGTGGAGTGTTACGACCCTAAGATAAACACCTGGACGCTGTTAACATCCAACATGATGACTGGGCGTAGTTACGCCGGTGTATCTGTAATAGATAGACCAATGTTATAGCACTCAACCTGTCAAATGTTGAATACGATAACTAAGGAAGGTTGTCGTATTTGTGAAATTGTCGTAGACCACTATTTAGAAATTGACCAGTTCTGTGTGTGATTATGCTGATGATGCAGTTTCATTGGCATCGTTAAACAAACTGTTTTAGCGTTTTGTCCTTTGTTGGTAAGATAAAAGTGTCATTATGCTTGCGTATCCGTCATAGTAAGACATTTGCTAATAGCAGTTGACCAATGCTTTGTGAATATGATGATGGTGTGGCTACATCAATGCATTTATTACAAAATCATCAACACCAATACTTACTCTATGAGAAAAAGACCAATAAGACAGACCTATCCTTCATTGAAACTTCAGATGTGGCATCAAATCTCAAACAGGAGTATCAGCAGTGTGTATGATCAGGTCTATGTTTGAGTATATGTAGAAGACAGCAGAGCGTATTGATCACACTGATCATTCCAGTCAACTGAGCTGTATGCGCACCCCCTTTTTGACATGACAATATTTACCTAAAAAAGTGTGCACTATACAGTAATAGCAATCTAGGAAGTACTTTGCCAGAAAATTGGGCTCCCCTCAGTAATGGATTTTATTGACTCGTTCTTTCACACCAAACAGACCATGATAAAATTGGGTTAAAATGCTTCCATTGATCCAATGAGACCCTTTCCTCTCAGGCCCAGGTTTCATGAACGTTCCATAAGTTAAGGAGCTCCTTACCTTAAGGAACGTTCATGAAATTGGGGCCAGATGCATTAGACCTTGCTGGTACAGCTACCCAAAAGGTGACTTTCCAGCTATCTACTATAGGCGACTGGTGTACACAGATATTTCTGAAGCAAATATGTTTCAAGAGTTTCCTGAAATGCTTTTCACTTATGCTTATTCAGACTTAATTTATAAATTGATGACTCATGTTTGAGGTACACAAAAATTAATGACACATGTTTGAGGTACCCAAGAATTGATGACACATGTTTGAGGTACACAAGAATGGATTAGACATGCTTGAGGTACCCAAGAATTTATGACCAGGTTTGAGGTACACAAGAATGGATAAGACATGCTTGAGGTATTCAGGAATGATGACACATGTTTGAGTACACAAGAATGTATGCCATGGTTATTCTGAATCCTAAGTTATCAATGTTAGTTGAAAACAAAGTAAGAGATGAATTCTCACGCAAGTACAAGTATGGAGTAGAGTAACATAGAACGTTTAGATAACTTACTTGTGGACAATCACATAATGACATGGTTTTGAAATGTAAACAGTGGACAGAAGAGATTTAACATATTGCTTGGTGATTATGAATCAATTGGGTAATAGTGAATACTTTCGATTATTAATAATACTGAGTAAAGTATGATATCAGCCATTGGCTACATATATTTACAGAAGTACCCCGGTGTACTGGACAATCAAGTAATACATGTAAGATTATGACTAAGCAATGTTATTGTATCAATGATACGACGTTGTGTAACATTTGGCAACTTACAAGTTGTCATTTCAGACAAACCAAGTCCTGTGTACCACATATCACAAATGTTCTGTGTACCACACATGTTCTGTGTACCACACATCACACATGTCCTGTGTACCACACATGGTACCACACATCACACATGTCCTGTGTACCACACATGTCCTGTGTACCACACATGGTACCACACATCACACATGTCCTGTGTACCACATATCACACATGTCCTGTGTACCACACATATTCTGTGTACCACACATGTTCTGTGCTGTATGTTATTGATAATTGTCTGCTTTGGTTGCAACAGTGCAGTGTGTATCTACTGCTTTTTTTAACCATGAGATGTTATTAGTAGATGACTTCATTTGAGTATATATATATTATATAGCATCATAAAGGTGCTTCATAGGAATTATAAGTTGATTATGTTTGCAAAATCAATAGTCTGTGATATGTTTGTGTCAATTAGAAAAAAAAAGAAAAAAAACCCTGTAGTGTCTGCACATAAGGACATAGTTTGAACCCTGTGTCAACATGAAAAAGGCAAGAACAGGAACCTACTAAACACTAAAACAAAAAGTAAAAATCATCCTGAACTCCTGCAAAAAAAGACAGACTAAAAACCAGGTTTGGAAACTTTAAAATTAACTTCCTCAGTTACTTTAATCTCATCCTCTGACACTTAACGTGAGTGTCAGTGATGTTCAAATCTAGTGGATATTTTGAATTAATCATGGATAGGAGCTTTTGCTATTAAAGTGATAATATAATGTATCACAATTTTTCTTTAAAAGCATCATAAGTTCTAATTTCCCTGATTGAATTGAAGCAATTCCTTTTTAAGAGTGATTGCAACTTCAGCCAGTTCTTAAGGCAACAGAATGTATTTTCTCCACTAAATTGTCCCATTAATGCAGTCATCTGATATAATCCAGCCACTTTTACTGGAAACAAAGGTGGCTGGATTATCTGTCGAAAACCATCAAGACTCGATCTTCTGTATATTGATTGTTTCAAAGATTTAATGTAAAAATGGAACCAAATTTTAATGGACTTAAGGATGCATGGAGGACCCGGCTTGGAGGAACTTTTTGTTTAAGTAATGGAGAGAAAGTGCACGATAAAAAATAAAGATGTACTCAAGGGAGGCTACTTGATTCACCATTGACAGTGATATGCCGAATTGCTCTAATTTCTTTAATACTCTTTAATCTTTTTTCACATTTATCAAGAATTTGTGATTGTGAGATGTGCTTGAGAGAAATTCAGAGTATTGAGTATTACATTATATTGTCTTAAATATATTTACATATAAATGCTTTGTCTTAGTAAAAGAATGAAATGTCTAAAAGACATATTTAAGATTATATTATATATAAGTCATTGGTAGTGGTATTATTAGATACTGGGTATAGTGCAAAATCATTGATGATCTTTACAAGGTCATTTCCATAATTGTTAACAAAAATTATCACAGGCGATATCAATGACAAATTCTAATAAGTGCAAGAATATCTTTGGTTTCCTCATCTCTAATTCATTTTTATACGCCCGACAAATTTGACGGAAGTATTATGGTATGGGGTTGTCCGTCTGTCTGTCCGGCATAAACTTTTGTTTGTCTGGCAATCTCCTCCTACATTTTTCGACCGATCTGTGAAACTTGGTATACATTATAATCATGATATGAAGTTGTGTCTCTCTTAAAAGAATTTTGATTCAACAATTTTTCCAAAAGTTCTTGCCCTTTGTTCATTTAAGTATTTGATTTTTTGTCTGGAGATCTCCTACATTTTTTGACAGATTTCTTTGAAACTTAGTAGGCTAAATAATCATGATATGTTGTTGCGTTTCCTTGAAAAGAATTTGATTCAACAATTTTTGCAAAAGTTATTGCCCTTTGTTTATATTTCAGTATTTGATTTTTGTCCAGCAATCTCCTCCTACATTTTTCAACAGATCTCTTTCAAACTCAGTATACATTATAATAATGATATGGAGTTGTGTCTCCCTTAAAAGAATTTTGATTCAACAATTTTTCCAAAAGTTCTTGCCCTTTGTTCATTTCAGTATTTGATTTTTTGTCCAGAGATTTTCTTCTTTTATAGCATGTCAGCTAACCACCCTTAGAATGATGCAGATCTTATTTCAATGTAAGAAAGTATATAACACTATATGGCATTCGACGGGGGTATATTGTTCCGCCCTGTGGTACTCTTGTTATTATATGATTTAAGTACACATAACTGTATAAGAATAATGTTTTAAATACACATACAGTATGTATTATACAGATGTGTTGGTATATAGAAATAAAATCATGGCTACCTATCCTTGATTTTCAAAAAAAAATCAACAGAATGCGAGTTTGATTTTCTTAATACCTGGTATTCTGATATTATACTGATTGTACTCTAAATTGATCAGAAAGCTGTCTTTTTTTTATGTCATAGTTTAAACTTTTTTTTTCTCATTTCTGATTTACAACATTTCTAACATACAGGCACATCACTGGAAAATGCATAATACAGGTAACCTGCTAATTATTAGCATGGACATGTATTTTCAATGATGATAAAAAAAACACCATATCAGTGAAATAGAATAACTGTTTCGAAGTTAAGAACCACCATTGGTTTGATTAAAAAGTACCTCATGGGTTCAATTATCAGTTTTGACATTTTTTTTCAGAATAAAGAAATTGAGTTCGTTGAAAATATAACATTGATGGTTCTTACCTTGGAACTATGGTTAAGAAATTAAAATTGTATCCTTGAATATTTGTGGTATTTTAATGTAGAAGAAATATATGTTTATGTATTGTTGTTTATGTTGCCAAGTTATTTGTCATTTTTGATTTATATTTGTTTTGTAGTCTTTGATTGACATTAAACATGTTCTGTGCTTAGTTAAAATAGTTGATTTAACGTGCGTCTCTAATCTTTCACTATTCACATATTTGATGATTAATGAAAAAGTAAATCTATGGCTGTATTTCCACCATAACTTGTTTTTGTATTAAACAATCGCAATATTTGATAAGCAGATCATCAAAAATGGTTGTGAGTTTGAAAAATTGAAATTTGAAATTTCAGTAACATTGGTTTCAGCATATAAAATATGGGTGATTGTCTTAAATCCCCATTAATTGTAAAAAATCAGAGTAGCGAACAATACTTGAGAGCAACTTGGAGCTTTTCATTCCACAAGCAAGACTTGATTTGTCTACTATAGAAAGCTTTCTGGCTTTTTAGCCCACCATCATCTGATGGTGGGCTATTCAAATCACCCTGCCTCCGTGGTCCGCCGTCCGTGGTCCGCCGTCCGTCCATAAACAATTCTTGTTATCGGTATTTCTCAAGAAGTACCAGAGGAATCTTTCTCAAATTTTATATGCAGGTTCCCCTTGGTCCTTAGCTGTGCAGGGCAACTTTTGAGACTGATCGGATAAAAAAACATGGCCGACAGGCAGCCATCTTGGATTTTGATAGTGAAAGTTTGTTATCGCTATTTCTCAAGAAGTACTATAGGGATCTTTCTCAAATTTTATATTTAGGTTCCCCTTGGTCCTTAACTGTGCAGGCCGACTTTTGTGACTGATCTGATAAAAAACATGGCCGACAGGCAGCCATCTTGGATTTTGATAGTGAAAGTTTGTTATCGCTATTTCTCAAGAAGTAC